TTGGTCGACTTGGTAGTGGCCAAGTGGACAGATAATGTATCTCCTCCCTGTAGGCCGTCTCATCATTATTGCTGATTAGACCAATCACAGTGGTGTCATCTGCAAATTTGATGATGATGTTGGATCTATTCACAGGCCTACGGTTGATAGTAAAAAAAGAAGTAGAGGAAGAGGCTCAGCACACAGCCCTGTGGTACACCAGGGTTAAGTGTGACGATGGTGGAGCAGATGTGGCCTGATCTGACATTCTGAGGTCTTTTAGTCCGAAAGTCTATAATCCAGTTGCAGAGAGACGAGTCGATATCCAGGTCTCTAAGTGTAATCAATAACTAATGCAGAGTTCAGACTGCATGATTTTGAAAGTAGTCGTGTCATAGATGTTTTTACACTGCGTGACTATCTGGGCTAGCGTTTTGTTGCTGCTTTATTTATATTATAACTTCGTCTAAACTACGTCTCACAACCCAAAAACCATCTGTTTGACCAGGCTGTGGATTAATGCTAATATTGCAAATAATGTTAAATTTCTTACACAGACCAATTGTTTTACTTTACAGGACCTTCATCAGGAGCCATGGCTTTAGATTTGGACTTTATTCTTAAACTGAAAAACCCATCCCCATTCGCTGTTATTATTTGAATCACCATGTACCACAGATTCAGCTAAAAATCATCAGTAGTGTTATATTAACATTAAGTTAAATAAATATTAATTTATTTTCTTCTCGGCTTAATCCCTTTATTAATCTGGGGTCGCCACAGCGAAATGAACCGCCAACTTATCCAGAATGTTTTACACAGCGGATGCCCTTCCAGCAGCAAACCATCACTGGGAAACATCCATACACTTTCATTTACACACATACACTACGACAATTTAACTTACCCAATTGCCCTATAGCGCATGTCTTTGGACTTGTGGGGGAAACCGGAGCACCCGGAGGAAACCCATGCGAATGCGGGGAGAACATGCAGACTCCACACAGAAATGCCAACTGATCCAGTCGAGAATCAAACTAGCGACCTTCTTGCTGTGAGGTGAGAGCGCTACCCGCAGCGCCACCTGTTAAGAAAATATATATTTAAAAAATAAAAACAATTAATAACTGAAACCAGCTCAAATGTTATCGATTATTTATGTCATATGCCATGTCCCGAATAAAACACGTTAACGTAATGCACAATTGTTAGTCATTTGAGACTCCTTTATTACAGCACTCCCACAAGTTTCTCTCTTGCTTTCACAAATAAAATTATACATATTTAATGTATATCCATTATTAATAGCCTATCTAAGTTTTGCCCAGCTAGCGATACCTGAAGGTAAAGGTAGCCTATAAGCATATTTTTTTCAGTGCATGCATTGACTGCATCGTCTAATACATAGAATATAAGTATGTTTGTGGTTAATTAGATGGCATGATAAGCATGGACATGAGCATTATTCAGAACATAGCCTATATATTTATTTTTAAAATGTTATATTTATTTAGAAATTAAAACTATATTAAATTTCAACTTGCAGTAATAATCTAAACATTAAACTTTGTCTCGATGTTGTGAATTTATTATCTTTTAACACACCTAAATCTGACGATTGTCCCTTACATGTATATTACATTTATAATGATACTCAAATTTATTTAATCAACTGACTGTTTACTTGTGAATAGTTTGTTTAGTTACACTATATTTAAAGTGATTTCTTTTTTCGACTACCTTGTAAAGACATGTAAAGGCTGATTTATACTTCTGCGTCAAATGCACGTGTATGGTCCGACGCAGCCTGCGCGCAGTCGAATAGCCCTTGCCGTGGCGCATCTCTCCAAAAATGTAACTACACATCGCAACAACACGTAGCGCACGCTCTATTAGTGGGCTTGGTAGCGCTTACGCGTGTGGGCAGGGTTGAGAGCCACGGCAACCCATTGGAGCGAGTGTTTACAAGTGTAGAGTCCCATGAAATAGCTCGAGGTGGAAACTGTTGCTTTGTTTTTACCTTATGATTAAAGTTGTTGTATGACCGCCGGCTCCCGCCTCAGAATGAGCGAGTTTTATCTTCTTGTTCATTAAGGTAGTGTTCAGAAAAAACAAAACCCAAGCGAAGAAACTCCATACAGAGGGAACATATAAACCTACTGCTTTTGTAAGTGTTATTGTAGAACAACACAAACAGCGCGCACAAGTATAAGTGCTCAGCTGCACGCAGGGCAGGCGCCGTAGGTCACGCCAATCACTCAACGCAGAAGTACAAACCAGGCTTAAGGCCGAATGTGCATTGTGCAATTTTGAGCCAAATTCTGATGCGACTCTTCTTTGAATCAAATTAAATTTCAACTTCGATATTTGCTGTGCTGTGTTGATGCAATGTACAGGAGGAACTAAGAGGTGAATAACCTCTCTTGGTCGGCAATCAGATAGTCGAATCATTTTATGTCAGGTCAGACATTTTGGTCGGCCCTCTTGAGAGAATCACGGAGATGAATCAAAGTTGTGCTCTTACTGCACCCTAGTACTGTGAAAACTAGGGAAGCAACAATAACATTTACTTATTCTTCACTTGTCACAAACCTGTTTGAGTTTCTTTGTTCTGATAAACACAACATAAGATCATTTGAAAAATGATGAAAACCGGTAACCATTGACTTCCATAATATGTTTTTCCTACTATGAATGTCAATGATTACTGGTTTCTAACACTCTTCAAAATATTTTATCTTGTGTTCAACAGATAAAAAAACTCAAAGGTTTGGGACCATGGAAACATGGTGAGTGAATAGTGAGTAAATTTCCTTTTTTGGGACTATTTAGATTTTTCAGAGCAACATATTCAGTTAAGAGACTGTTTACTGTAATGTGTAGTGATAAATGTTTTGCAGTTACTTACCATAAAAAGTTGATGGAAAATTCCAACTGCAGTACTGGACAGAAAATGTGTTTAAACCCCTGACCAAGGAACTCAGCAAAGGAAACTTGTTGTACAGTACCTAAAATGAAAGGAAGCACATGATTATCATTTAGGTTCAAAATTCAGCACAAGTAACAACATGACCAACTTCTTAATCAACATATTGTTTACCGATTAATTATATTAGGCAACATTTAGATAAATTACTTATTAAACAAATTGCTGAACGTGATTGATATGTTTAGTTAGGGTTATTTTTATACCAACACCAATAAGGTTAGCAAGAACTTTTTCTTCAGTTCAACATTAAATATTTTAGCTGAATTTTCTTTAATGTTTTACTGAAGAAAGAAAGTCTGTGGGTGAGTAAACTAACGTTAATGGGGAATGTTTGGGTTTACTCCTTCAAAGTCAGATTTATTTTTAAATCAGTGATTGTCACTGCCTGATTGATACGATATAAAGTGGGTCTCAGACCAGACAAAGCACTGCATTAAATTCCATTCTTCAACGCTATGTCTTAAAAATATGTACATTTATTTTAACCACAGTATTTTCCATGAAGTTTTAGCAGTCGTCTGCATGTGTTTTACGTTTGAACAACTAAAGGAATGCTTCAGCTTATTTAAATGATATTATTTTAATTAAATTACATTATCATTGATGTAAAAGGCACTTTATGAATATGGAAAAAGTCACATTAAGTTAACCTTGCGCTGAACGTTTATCGGTGGCTGACAAACACTTGCTGTGAATCTAAGTTAGCCCATTAACAGCATTATAACCCCAAAGACATAATTACAGCATCTTACGTAAAAAATACAGAACTGTATAAATGGACGCCCTTTACGTTAAAAGTTAATGTTACGCCAGTATGGGCACACATTCGACAACCTCCTAAGACAGTCAGTAGTGCCCTAACGCCAGACCAAATCGTTCTAAAACAAAATCAGTATGGTACTGTCCGTTCACAACTATCTAAACGCATGTTTAATGTTAACCATAGTAAAAGCCACCGTAAATTCACAAAGGACTGAGCTAACGTTAGCAACGAAACTTTTTTCGTTTGGAATGGCGGATCACGGACACTGTCGTCACATCAAAGAAAATGCTTATTCTCTTGAAAATAGCCATTTACTTCATTAAAAACATTATATATCAAGTCTACATAACTACATTCTTGTTAAAAAGAATCTTAAATATATTCTGCGACATAAAAGCGAGATTTGTCAAACCGTGTGTAACGTTAACTGTTAGCTTAACTTGCGAGCGCGCTCGACGGCTGGTCGCTGTGAAATTTAAAAACGACCAAAAGAGACAGTCCGAACGAGAGACCATTTTATGCGTCTATGTTACCCACAAAGTTTTTTCTGTAATAAACAGTCTGGTACAATATAAAATGTGACTTACTGTGCAAATGGATGTACAGAAATCCGGCTCTGGCGTCTTGCTTCCATCTGACTGGATTCTGTAAAACTTCCTTTGGGCTTTGGCGCCGAGGCAACAGAACATAACGCGCATGCGCACAAAGCTAACATAATTTTTTCTAATAGACTTTAATTAATTGATTTAGATTGGATCAAAACACATCTAATTCACTTAAAACCTATTAAAAATAATTTAATAAAATCAACAACTAAATTAAATTGTTTAAAATAAACTAAATTGAATTATGTTTAATTTAATAGAGGCCTAAATCATTTTTTTCAGTGTACTTGCCATATTGAATAGACACATACCCTCTGTCATCTGGGGCAGTTATCAACTAGATGTGAAAGAAAGCAGATGTTTGATCATGATGTGATCTATCATCTGTGATGGATAACACATCCAATCTAGTAATGGCCGTTTGTAACGTTTGATTAACAATAAGAGTCAAAAATGGCGAGCTATTACTGCTACGAAATGGGCAACTGTTATTGTGCATCTCGCCGCGTGAGTCATCCTTCATTTAGCATTCAGAAAAGCTATCCATTATGCATCATAATTACTGTTAAGAGACTCCAAGAACAATGACCTCACAAAGGTGCCGTAAAAAGCTTTTAGCACAAGAATTTATACTTACAGCTTTTTGCCATGCGTTTCATTTCAGATGTGTTGATGGACTCCACGACGGCGACTGCAGAGCTGGGCTGGACGATATATCCATCATTGGGGGTGAGCCTCGTTGAAATAATTTAGATGATCATCAAACCTAGCATAAATAAATAATTCAGCCTGACTCATGTGGTGCAGAAATAGACTTTGAATGAATTCCAAATCAGATCATTTTTAGTGTTGGTTGTCTCACTTTTTTACCTTAGATGTGTCTTTAATGGTGTGAAGCCAGAATGAATGTTCTATACATATGCAGATAGCAGAGTTTTACTATTAGCTGAACACATTGCTTATTTAAACATTGTTCTCTGTGCTTCTGTCTCAGTGGGAGGAAGTGAGTGGATACGACGAGAACATGAACACCATACGCACCTACCAAGTATGCAACGTCTTCGATGCCAACCAGAACAACTGGGTACGCACCAAATACATCCGGCGGCGAGGAGCCCAGCGGATCCATGTGGAGATGAAGTTCTCCGTTCGAGACTGCAGCAGCATCCCGAAAGTTCCCGGCTCTTGCAAGGAGACGTTTAATCTGTACTATTTTGAATCAGACTCTGATACAGCCACTAAGGTGTATCCCGCCTGGATGGAGAACCCTTGGGTCAAGGTGGACACCATTGCGGCCGATGAGAGTTTCTCCCAGGTGGATTTGGGAGGTCGTGTGATGAAGATCAACACGGAGGTGCGGAGCTTTGGGCCGGTGTCCCGTAGTGGCTTCTACTTGGCCTTTCAGGATTACGGAGCATGCATGTCTCTCATCGCAGTTAAGGTTTTCTATCGTAAATGCCCCAGAATTATTAGGAATGGGGCCATCTTTCAGGAGACCTTGTCAGGGGCGGAAAGCACCTCTCTGGTGTCCGCCCGGGGCACTTGTGTACCTAATGGAGAAGAAGTGGATGTACCCATTAAACTTTATTGCAATGGAGATGGGGAGTGGCTGGTACCTATCGGGCGGTGTGTGTGTAAGGCCGGACATGAGTCTGTGGATAATGGGACTATGTGTAAAGGTAAGCATTGTGGTTTTTTAGTTTGAGTGTGTCTTTTAAATATTTAGATTTTGCTCTTAAAGGAACAGTCAAATAAAAAACTAAACAAAACAAAAAATATTTAATTATCTTCCATGTTATATTACAAGCTTATATTCTGTTGATGTTTTGAACATGAACCATAGAAACGCTCCTAACACAAAAAGTCTTTAGCATATGCTTATGTCTTCTGTGTGGTACGCTAAAATAAAAGCGATTATTCAATTATCCTTTTCTGCTTTCAAAGCAAATATGACTCCTATGGTGCATGTCAGAATTCATTATGATTTCATTCTTGACATATGAAATGTACTGTTTTTGTTGTGATGGTTGCAGGTGAAGTAAATCAATACATGACTTAGGACCTATTTTGAAATTTTGGCCAATACCAATAACCAATAATTCTTTACATGAAGTGCCATCTAAAATGTTTTTTTTTAAATGAGCATTTTTCTCAGGATCCTGTTTATAGGTTCAGTAATTTTATATTTAAGACATAGAATAAGTTATGTTTATGGCCTTTAATGTGAAATAAGTGAACATAAAACTAGGCAGCTAAGAAATTTTGAGAAGAAAATTTCAGGTGGTATTTAGAGGTTTTTGCATCTGAACACTTCACATCTGGAAGCTAATATAAACGCCATATAAACGCAAATCCTGATATTATTTTAAGACTTATTACAAAACCAAAATGGAAGCAAAAAGAATAGATAAGTGATTTTATTTTTGAAAGTAAACTTGATTTTAATATGAAGGAAACCGCAGGTCAATTAAATAGCAATTTCTATATCTTTAATTTTCAAAATTCTAATAAATTTCAAAAATCACATTTCCCACACTGCTTTTAAATTGTCTTCCCTTTCCATAAACCCTTCTGAATTGTCCCTTCGCTAAGCCACGCCCAAAAACCACCATCCACCAATCGTGGCTTAGCAACTGTAGCTACGCGCAGGGGCTCTGTCAAGCTTTTGAGCGAGTGCATATGAATTGTGCAAATCTGATACCCGGTCTCCTTAAAGTTCGTATGGGATGGTGGAATTTTTTCCCTTTTTAAAACCTAAAACCCAAGAGGAGAAATGCCAGCGTGGATCAAGCTGTGTGAGGGGCGCTAAAGGAGCAGAACTAAGTTGGTTTTGTTTTGATATTCCTGACACATTCAGTGATAGACCGACCGCAATAACTCACACACCTCTTACCCTAAACAGATCTAAACTGTGTTTCCTACAAAAACACAAAGCTGGTTATGTTTCACAGCTGTCTTATTCTCTTTTTTCGCTCAATACTATGAGTAATTCTCCATTTAAGTCTTCGCCATAACGTTAGTAACGTAGTCATACTAATAGCGAATAGATCATAATGACATGAGTTATTGATCCGGAAAATACGTATCTGCAAATCTGTTGCTAACTCTACTGAACTTCATATTTCCATCTTATTTCAAGCTACGAATATTTGAAATTACAAATAAACAGAACAAAACCGAGATAAGATCACAAACTGAGCAGCTGCGATCAATATACTTTACCCCCAGCTGTTTTTCAGTCATTTATAAAGAGCACACAAACATACTGACAGTAATAGGTAACTTTCTGTACATTGTTATGGGTCAATGATGCTAATATTCTGCACAAATCCATCAGTTTCCCTTTCTGGCTGTTCTATCTATGAATGGACTGTGTAAAAGCACTGTCATGCGTATTTCCTCGTCGGTTAGTAAACTATATATCATTGCACACCAATGAAAATTAAATTAAATTTTAATTTAATTTAAACCAATTAAATTTCACCTCTCCTGCTGAGCATGAGCTAAGCTGTTGAATGGTTAGCGTATGAGGCAGCTAGGCTAAGCTAGCTTTAATTTTTATTGATTTATTCTCTAATTGGTTGCCCATTATGTGGTAAATATACTCCTGTAATGCATACTGCAGTCCTTTTTTGTATGGCTTTCTCGAATATCTCACCTGTTCGCCAAAAATGACATCATACCCCTGGCAATGTCTGAAACCGGCGCACACACATTGAAATAGCTTGACAGGCTTAGCAACAGTAACTAAGGAGGGCAGGGCTTAGCGTTGTGTGACATGTCTCAGTATGTGTCAATTTATTGGTCAAAATGTGTTGTCATATTGGGCAAAATGATAATGATAACATTAAAAATAAGCTTCAGCCAATAATGGTTTTACCACATATAAATACCTGACAAAAGTCTTGTCGCCTATCCAAGTTTAAGGAATAACAAATAATAGCTTTTAGTTAATCATTTAGTATCAGAAGTGGCTTATATAAAAAGGCAACAGCCTCTAGTTTACAATTATTTTACCAATATTAAATATGATCATGCCTTGATTTTTAATTATTTAATCAGGACAGTAAGGTCTGACTTTGCTTAAAGAGCCCATATTATGGGTTTTTGAAAATGCCTGTAACGGGGAGACTGACACGGAGGGATCCATTTTGCAGTATTTATTAAGTCACACTTGAACATCAACAACTCGCACGGCTGTGCGAACATACAACATACACATCAACGATGATTAGCAGATAACAGAGGCAGAGTGATTACCAGGCTTGTGTCAAAGGCAGGCAGCGTGATTCAGAGTCCGTGTAACAGGCTTTGGTCAGGGGCAGGCAGCGAGAATCAGAGTCCGTGTAACAGGCTTTAGTCAAGGGCAGGCAGAAGACAGAGCAGGGTCGTGAAACGGGCTGAAGTGGTAAACGGGAGATCAGGCAGGATAGAACGCTCAGAAATGCTGGCCGGGGCTAAACAAGACTTCGCACTGAAGTGTGTGTGTGAGCTGCTTATATATGGTACGTGGGTCATTAGTGGAATGGAGAACAGGTGTGCTGGGATCAGGGTGAAATGGATGACGTAATGATTAGAAGTCCGGAGATGGTGACCTCTGCTGGTCAGCGAGGGGAATGACTGGGACCGAGTCGGTGACAGAGCCCCCCCCCAACGAGCGGCTCCTGAAGTGAGGCAATTCTCGACGCCGGGGTCTTCCACGGGGGCGAGGGGCCGGCATCTCCGGATGTTGTGAGTGGAACTCTTCCAGTAGTGTGGTGTCGAGGATGTCCTTGCGATTAATCCAAGATCTCTCCTCCGGGCCGTACCCCTCCCAATCAACGAGATATTGGAGTTGTCCACCCCGGCGTCTGGATCTCAGGATTTCGTGGATCTGGTATGCCTCCTCACCATCGATCATGAGAGGCGGGGGACCCTGTTCACCGGCTGCCACCTCCCTATCCGCCTCGGCTGGACCAGCAGCAGGCTTGAGCAGAGAGACATGGAAAGTGGGGGAAATACGAAAATGATTAGGGAGTGTCAGTCTGAACGAAACAGGAGATATTTGTCTTTCAATCTGGAAAGGACCCATGTACCTGGGGCTGAGCTTCTTGCAGGGCAGCTTGAGGCGTAAGTCACGGGTGGAAAGCCATACCCATTGTCCTGGGGAATACATGGGACCAGAACGTCGGTGTCGATCGGCTTGTTCCTTGAAACGCCGTACGGCGTAAGAGAGGTGAGTGTGAGCTGCGTTCCAGACCTCTTCGCAGCTTTTAAACCAGGTATCCACCGCAGGGAGTTCAGAGGTCTCGCCGGACCAGGGAAAGAGAGGAGGTTGGAAGCCCAGCACGCATTGAAATGGGGTTAATCCAGTAGATGCCTTTCTGAGGGAGTTCTGAGCATATTCTGCCCACATCAGAAATTTAGCCCATTCATTCTGGTTCGAATGACAGTACGTGCGGAGGAACCTGCCGATTTCCTGGTTCAAGCGCTCTGTCTGCCCGTTGGATTGGGGATGATAGCCGGATGTTAGGCTAACATGGATTTGGAGGTTTTTGAAGAAAGCTGACCAGAGTCGGGATGTAAACTGGGGACCTCTATCCGACACGATGTCTTCGGGGAGACCATAGTACCGGAACACACACTCGCAGAGTAACTTGGCCGTTTCCATGGCTGTAGGCAGTTTGGAGATGGGAATAAGGCGGCAGGATTTTGAAAATCGATCCACTACTGTGAGGATGGTGGTTTTGCCCTGAGATATGGGTAAATCAGTAATGAAATCTATTGCGATGTGTGACCAGGGACGATGTGGCACCTCCAGGGGTTGGAGTAATCCAGCTGGACGGTGACGGGAGTGTTTAGACATCTGACAGGGTGAGCATTTATTGACGAAGTTAATGACATCTTTGTGTATGGATGACCACCAATAGCGGGATTGAATCAGTTGTACGGTGGCTGTGCTGCCTGGGTGACCGGAACTGGGGTGGTCATGTACCTCGGAGATGAGCCTTTCTCGAAGTGACGGGGGAACGAAGATTTTATTCTCTGGACAGGGCTGTGAAGATAGATTGGTTTCGGCGGCTTGAAGGATCTCCTGTTCTATATCCCACTGGATAGGAGCAACAATTAGAGGATCTTTGATTATGGGTTCATCATGGTATTCAGAGGTTTCATCGTCTGAGAGGCGGGACAGAGCATCTGCTTTGATGTTTTTTGAGCCAGGGATATAGGTGACTTGGAAGTCGAATCGGGTGAAAAACAGCGCCCATCTTGCCTGTCTAGGGTTCAGACGTTTACAGGAGCGGATATATTCCAGGTTTTTGTGATCGGTGATGACGGTGAAAGGATGTTTTGCGCCTTCAAGCCAGTGTCTCCATTCTTCTAGCGCGGCTTTCATGGCGAGGAGTTCTCGGTTTCCCACATCGTAGTTCCGTTCAGCGGAGTTGAGCTTGCGAGAATAGAAGGCACAGGGATGGAGCTTCTTAGTGACTAGGGATCTTTGAGACAGGATGGCTCCAATTCCAGTGTTGGATGCGTCAATTTCAACTACAAAGGGTTGCTCGGGATCAGGATGACGCAGAATGGGTGCACTGGAGAAGCGAGTTTTGAGCTGAGTAAATGCTCGGACAGCGTCTGGGTTCCATTTAAGGCGAGCGTTGTTGGCTTTTACCATGGCGGTCAGTGGAGCAGCGACTGAACTGAAGTTTCTTATGAATCGCCTGTAGAAGTTAGCAAAGCCCAGAAATCGTTGTAGTTGTCTGATGGTTTCGGGTTGTGGCCATTGTGTCACGGAGTCGACCTTTTGCTGGTCCATGGCCACGCCTTCTGGACTAATGATGTAACCAAGGAATGAGATGCAGGTCTGATGGAATTCGCACTTGGAGCTCTTTGCATACAGCTGGTTTTGAATGAGGCGTTTGAGCACTGCCCGGACGTGCTGAATATGCTCAGATAGCGAATTGGAGTAGACCAGGATGTCGTCAATATACACTATGACCCACTTATTGAGCATGTCTCTAAATACCTCATTTACAAATGCCTGGAACACGGAAGGACTGTTTGCTAGGCCGAAGGGCATAA